CAGTTTTAATAAGATTATTCCATAATTTTGCTGCTCACTGTTTTTATTTTTTGTCAAATTTTAAGTCATTCTGTTTCATTGGTAATAATCATTAATTATTCCAGAAGCTGTAAAAACAACAAACACAATGAATATTCCGCTACTCGTTGCAAAAATTTGACATTTCAGAATTTAATAGAATAATGTTTGTTATGTTGTTTACACTAAATTTTAAAAACACAAAGGTTTGTCCTGTTTAATTATAATAATTATATTTTTTTATAAACCAGGTTTCATCACTTTTGTTCAGTTATGTGACCTTGAATGAAGTAACATCAAAGTAATATTTTGTTGTGTATTTTGTTAACAATTTAAATCCGTTTTGCATTAGAAACACTCAACTTTTTTTTCTCACTTCCGTTTTTAGTACCATATACGTTACAGGAAGTGGACAAATAATGTTGAAATCTGCTGTAGTTGAAAATTTTTTTTGATGATATACAACACTACACTACAACACACTATAACAACAAAATAGGAAATTTTAAAATAGAATTTTTTATATTTTTAAGAATTATGCTCTAATTCTGCTTTTCGTTGTGTCAGTTTGTTCAAATTTTAATATGTAATTTGTTACTTAAAAAATACAGTTTTTTGTACAGAAACAATCTGTAAATTTAAAAAGTAAAAAGTCTCCACTCTCTACTTTAAAAATTAATTTTATTCTTCGATACTGTCAAAATTTAAGGTTTTTCTCCCGTGTAAGGAAGTTTTGACAACTGTTTGGCATTTCTCAATACGAAACGTCAAATTATTTTTAACAGATTTAAAGCAAGTTTAAGCCTTGTTGACTCTAAATCGAAGAATAAAATGTTGTATTCCACTCGTTTGAGTGTAAATCGGACGCTTTATTCCACCTCGTGGATAGTAAACCACTCGTTACACCCGTGGTTTAAAAATCCACTCGGACAAATAAAGCGTCCGATTTATAATTTAATCAATTAAAAAAAATCGATTGTAAAAAACACTATTCTTAATTGTTTTCTATTTAAAACATGAAAATTTTTATTATTAATAAATTAATGGCTTTTTACTTTCTAGATACCCACATTTCATAAACACCTTGTATTTTTTTCAGCAGAAATAAATAAATATAGAAAAAGAAAAATGTAAAATAATCAAAAAACTAAGAGAGTTAACAAAAGATTGCTAACAAGCATTGCTACAGTTTTGTTAATTAACATCTCTAAAAATATATGCACTCTGTATATGTATACAGGGAAATTCCTGCAAAATTGCTGAAATTTGGTTTACACACAAGCTCTAATTAAACAAAACAACATTTTCTGTTTCGAAATTTTGATTAATAAAATAATTAATTATTAATAAAATGGGATGATTAATGAAATAAATTAAGAGAGCACACTGTAGAGTTGTTATTTTTTGCAATAATCATTTTTCACTGTTTTAATCCTAAATTTCGGCGTTTTATCCATCCTTTTTCGCCCCGCTATTATCCCAGTTGCAGTTTTGTGTTCCATCCTGGCAGTTGGTGGTGGAGTTAAAGGTAAGCCGCGCACGCGGTGGAGAGGGGATGAAGATGTTTTCGGGGGTGGTTGTATTCCGTGTATGTGTGTGAGTGCGCCGTCAGTCCGCCGCCGGCGTCAGAGGCATCAGGACGCCTCTTTCTCACTTCACATAATCACTACTCACTCAATTCACCACTAAACCCGCGTGTGACAATAAAATGTGACAAACGACTAAATTAAAAGTGCTCGGACATTTATTTTTAATCCCGTGTTTAATTAAACTCGACCGAAATGAGACTGTGTGGGACTTTGCGTGCTGCGTGATGCTTAATCTAATCGAAAAACACTGTGATTAGTTGTTAACATAAATGTCTGCGATTTAGAGACTTTGGCGGCATGATTTTCGGACGATTCCTCGCAGGGGTGCTACTCATAGCCCAAGTTGCAGGTTAGTTGTCTCATTTTGAATTAATTTATCTTATCGTTCGTGATTTATTGCATTCTTGTGTCAATGGACTTGTTTCTCTTTTTAGCTAAACTTTGTAATTAAACGGAATTTTATTCTAATTAAAGATGAACAACGGACAGTAGACTTAATTAAATTTATGATGCTTTTGTGTTTCAAAAATTCAGCTTTGATGCTCGCATTTTGCCCCCAAGAAAGCATTTGTAATTACAGCAAAAGTTAATCCGATTATTCTAGTTCTAGTACTAGTATTGGGCCGACATACATTAAAGGGGGCTAATCCAGGTCTAATCCTGTCAGAATCACCGAAATAATTGCTAAAATCGAATCTAAAGCCCTAAAAAAGGCCAAGCTTTGTGAAAAATACTTCCGTAATTGCTGTTATCGACAATTAATATAACAAAACTGTTTATCACACTGATTTATTGTTTTCACCTTTATGACTCGTGTATCTTTATGTGCCTATAAATCGAAGTAAAAAGGTCGTTGGGGTGATGCACGTTTCAGGGATCTATTTCTAGAGCTTTTTGATTTGCAAACGTTAAAAATTGTTTATACTTTGGTTTAATGAGCTCACGTAAAGTAATGGTATTTTAAGCCGGAATTGTGAGAACAATACAATTTTTGCTTATTTTTCAAACTTTTGTAAATACTATACAGGGTGCGCCAGAACTTGCGCCCCAGAGAAAAATACCATGGAAGGTGAGATTAAATTTTGCACTTTGACGCCGTTCCGATTATGTAAACTTGAATTTAGTTAGCGGAAACGGCAGATCTTGTAAAAACTGAACAGATACCTGTTAAAAAAACACCAATTTGTGTTTTATGGTGTAAAAAAACATTTAACAAACTAGTAAATTTAGCAATAAATTAAATATCTAATTTGTGTCTTATGGTGTAAAAAAACATTTAACAAACTAGCAAATTCAACAATAAATTGAATATAACAACATCGGAAACAAAAAACTGAGATGCCTACATGATAATATAAAAATTGACAGTTTTTTTCAAAAAAAACCTTGACAAAAATCTGAATTAATTTTTATGCTTAGCTCAAAGTCTTCTATCAACATTTGAGAATCCGACACTTTTGAATCACTTTATAATCTGTTGTTGACCCAGTTTGAAATTAGGTTTTATTTTTCCATTTTTATTTCCTTTATACAACCAAAAAATTATAATTACTATGGTCTCTGTCCATTTTACAAACATCAAAATTTTGCTGCGGTTAAAAATGTGTCAAAATTTAATCGCTTTTGAATTTATTGGTCACTAATATATAGGGTGCGCCAAAATTCGCGCCCCAGAGAAAAATGCCTAGTAAGGTAAGATACCAGGAACATGGAAAAAATGTTAAAAAATTCTATCTATAAAAATTGCTAAGTTTGGAGAATTCAAATTTTGCACTTTGACTCTATTTATTTCTGTTGGAAAAATAATTTTCCAAGTTTTTTGCTACAGGTTATTAAAAGAGGAAACAAGGAAGCTGTATCCTAAATTGTAACTCTGTTTAATATTATTTGTGCCTTTTATTGGAAAAGTTTTTTTTTCTTTACTAAATAATTATAACAAAATCAGTAACATAAAAAATGTCAAATGTCAAAAAATAAATGTCAAAATTTTTTCACGAATTTTTTTATCTTTTTTCTATGTTCCTGGTATCTTATCCTACTTGAAATTTTTCTCTGGGGCGCAAGTTTTTACATACCCTGTGTTTTGCGTTGATTAGGCTTGAATCACCCTGTAAAGCTTTCTTAAAATAATAAATCTTGTCATAATTTCCACCGAGCGTAAGTGGATATTTAGGCAAAGAAAAAACTGTGACAGCAATATTTCTAAACCGGTCCCAATCAAAGAGCAACTGTTGAATAAATATTAGTTTTGACATTTACCACTTTATTAATTTTGAGGAGCCAAACAACTGTCTCACTATTCCCTTTATGTTTTGATTTTTTCCAGCTGCGTTCTCTAAAATTAACTCAAAATCCGAATTTATAATTGTCATCCCACCCTATGTAAAACTGTCGCAAATAGAAACAAATAGTTGCGAGTGCCATTAAGGCCTTGATTTACATTCAGTCATTCGATGACTGAAACACAACAGCGCAGATATGATCCATATGAAGCCATCGCAGCTAAAACCCGTTGATTTATCCACGTCTAAGCTATATTTCATGTTGTCATCAGTGTTTTTATGCGTCTGGTAGTGTTATTTGTTTTTAATTCATATTTATGTTTAGACAAGGAAAAGTCCCGTGTTTTAATGTTTTAATCTCCGGTGAAAAAATGCAAAAATTACAAAAATATCACTCGGGTTATTGTTTGAAGAAGTGGGGTGATGTTTGGATTGGAAAAAGCTGATCTAGTAATAAGTAGAAGGGGTTGTTTGCGATTTATTGTTAGTGAAACATGGATACAAGTGTGTTGAAACAGCTAATTGGGAAAACAAAGGAGTAAATATTTCGGAGATGCGGTCGCGTCTAAGATTTGCGAGCAAATTTGATGCAGCTTTGATGCGGTTTCAGCAAATTTAATATTATTTGCTTTATAGAATTTGCGGATTTGAGTAAGTCACACGTGCAGAAATTTTTCTATAAAAAGGAGAATTTTTCTAGATTTTGAAACAAAAAATGTTGTAATCAGTCAAGTTAAAATTATTATTTTTTTAAGTTTATAAATTTAGTATTAGATACAATATTTTTTTTATTTAAACAATAATTATAGAGATAACAAGTGCCAACGCTCGTTATAAGAATGTAAATATAAGAAAAAGTGCATAAAAGGTCCAAAAAAAACTTTTTTTTAGATAGACTTTTTTGACGCATTTTCCTTTTAAAATTGAGATCGAAACTCCTATGTTTTAACCATTTTTGCACAACTATTGAAATCACCCTGTATAAAAAATTCAAACATGGTAAACAAATTTAAGTTTGAGACATTGGTGTTTTATTGTTTTTTGCACACAAAAAGTTTGTTGCAAAACAATAAGAAATTGAGGAATCAGACATTGGAGTTGGACTTTTCACGTTAACATCTTTATATTTTCTGTCAAGTTTCAAATCATTCTGTTTCAATACCAACAATGATTAATTATTTTAAAAGCTGTGAAAGCTTCAAACGTAATGAAACTACGTTTGCTTGAAAAAAATAAAAGTTTAATGAAAAATGTTTTTTAACAAACCTTGAAGAACAGAAAACTTTGTCTTGGTTATTTAAAATTTATTTGTAAGCCAGGTTTTACCACTTTTGACCAATTCCATTAACTTCAAAGCAACACTTTGTCCTGTATTTTCTTAAAAGTTCCAACTTAAAACCTCTTTGGTTGCGGATTTATTTTTGTTTTTCTTTACTGGTAAAGAGCAGTGCGTTATAAAAAGTGGACAAACAATGTTGAGGTCTGCTGTAATTAAAAGTTTTTTTTGGTTCCATACAATACTTGTCGAAAAAGGGGACATAGAATTTGTCATATTTTTAAGAGCTGCTTGAGTTATTTTAAATATTTTTGCACAACTTTTAAATTATCCTGAGTATAACTCTTGGTGTTTTATTTTTTTGAGTTTAGTTAATAAAAGTGCGTATTTGTGTTTTTTAATTCGTTTTCTTTTTTCTTCTTTCTTTATATTGAATTTTTTAAACAAATATCAAAAATGCTTTTTTCTTCCACTTCTAGACTTTTTACTGTTTTCTTTCAATTTTTTTGAGCATTTAATTAAAAGTACAATTGATTTTCAAATCTCTTATCTAAATAAATTGCCTAACTAGCGTATTGTACAGTGTGCTTCATAAGTAACGCGGACTGAATTTGCAATTGAAACATTTCGTATTTTTGTTCTTCATACTGACCAAAAATTCAAATTAAAGCTTGTTTTGTCGTTTTGCTCTCTTTTTTATCGCTTTTGATCTGTAATTTCACTGAATTTCCCCTAATCGAGTCGCGTTTTTCTTTGCGATTAGGCGCCCGTTTAATTAACCACAAATTGGTTCATCCATAGTCTATCTATAGAACCACAACATGATAAACAACATTATTACATGTAGCATCTGTTGATGAAGTGTAATCGGGTTGTAATCAGGAAATTCGAATTTACTATACAAGACCTCTTAATTTATTCCATTTCATCCGGAAATCAAGAACTCGAAAACATGGCCACGTGTCCAGGTGCGGGTCACTCACATCCCCTCAAATCCATTCAAGGAGAAAAAAGGTTCTTTTACAAGCTTGACGATTACGGCAAAAAGCTCTCCTTGTTTTCGTTTGCGTTCCCCGGGGTTGAATTTTTCAAATCAATTAATAAAGAGTCTCAGGTCGCAAAATCCTGTATTTTAAGTCATGGGGGTGGGAGGTGGGGTGACTCGAAAAAGAAAATTCTTCAAAAGCGGCTGTGTTTAATTAAATGGGGACTACAATGATTTTAGTCTTTTTGTTCCATATTTCTTTGTACGAGGGTTAAAAAATACCACGAGTGTCTATTCCGGTTCCATTGTTAATAAGAGATAACAAAAATTAGTCCTGGAAGAGCTTTCGGGGCTCGGGAAACGGGTATTTAGCGCAAGACCGCAGCGATTATTCGAAACTGGTGGCGACTAATGCTACATAATTAAGGTTATAAATGGGCACAAGTTTGTGACGATTGCGTGCCCGAAAACACCCACTCTTTTCTCTTAAAAGGGGACTGTCATACGGCATTTTACAGAATTACAAGCGTTTTAGCCAATTAGACCGCACTCGCGAAACACTTTTTGCACAATATTCAGTGACCACAATGGCTTTATCTATTTTTACATTCAATGAAGCGGCTTGTGGGAGCATCGATGGACGCTTCTCGTGCTTGATTTATGCCTTTTTTACAATATTTGACTTTTCGTTTTCTATAAAATCATACACAATAGAAGAATTCTTGTCAGGGCATGTTTTCAGAGAGGCTTTATTAAAAATAAGGGATGCGTTCTATTTCTCCAACGTTTATTCTTTGATGTGTGCT